CAGCTGTCTTTGAAGAAATAATCAAACTAATCTAATCAGATTAAATTAAAAAAGAAAACGAAGTTCCTATATACATGTATATAAAAGTTATTATAAAACGAAATGTTGTGTGCGGAATAGAGGAATAACAGAGGAATAGCGGAATAGAGGAATGGAGGAGAGGAATAGAGGAATAGCGGAATAGTGACCGACCGACCGGAATACATTTTGACATGCTCCCTTAACTCTTTCTCTTATTTCTGCATTTGATACCTTGTGCGTCCAGTTGATTTTTAAAATTTTCCTCAACATATGTAATCAAAAGAATTTAATTTTTCTTCTTGTTGGTTGGTTAGCTGCAACGTTTCACTACTATATATGAGCACTGCTATTACATTTGCTCTGTACAGTTGCATCTTTGTTTTCAATGTAATACCTTTATTTTGCCATACTTTGTTTAGTGCTTTCAGTGCATATGCTGCTTTAGCTATCCTATTGTTTATCTCTACTTGATTCTAGCTGATATCAAAGCAACTCTTACTGTATCTGTAAGGCTAGAAAATATTTGTTGAACAGCAGAACAGCACGCAGAGAAGTACTGCGAGACTTTCTGATTATACAATTACATTCCGGCCCTTTTCCGTTCGGTTTCCGGTTAGTTCCGGAGCCCGATGCGGTAGTCTATTCTGGTCGTCAGAAACGGCCACCTGAAATCGGTGAAACTTGTCGTTTAAGACTGCTGAAACCGCTCATCATATTCGGAGACCGAAACTGGCTGGAAACCCTCGTTTTCACCCGGTTCCGGTCTGAAAAAACTGGCGGGATAAATGAGCGTATTCAAGTGATCTTCACTTGATTTTATCCATCTTTTGCAGTATTTTTCTTTTTCCACAGACATGAAGTTTTTCCTCAATTTTTTTATGTAGAATGTGCTTCCGACTTATTATTATACATCTGTTTTGACAGATTTACGTGACATCTCTACAACGTAAGATGTTATACAAACGTGACATAACGATTTCTATTGAGAATACAATGCGTAGCAAAAGTAAAGGTGTAATGTGGCATCAGCAGCGAATTTCTTTAATTACTGCTGTGTGCCTGAGATATTTGTGTTTCTGAATAGAATCCTTTATCTTTTCTGCGCAAACTTGAGGAATTCATCCAATAAATTGTGGCGCACATTTTTTATTTGGAGTGCATTATAGCATTACTGCAAAACCGGTAAAAAAACTGGTCATTTATAAGACCACACACCACAAACCTTATGCATCTTTCCTCTTTTAGCTTTTATGGCCTGGTTTAGATCGAATCTCTGTCTATTTATTTATGTTTGGTCTCTCTACGATATTGTTTGACAAATGTGCGCTTATCTGATTTACTAAATTTAATTTCTAACTTCCCTGTGTATTATTACTTTCTCGCTTGATTTAGGGATCTATCGCAAAAGTAAATGAAGCACTTAGACATATGCCGATGTGTATTGATAGGGCAATCATTGAATAAGCAATCGTAATCAAGAGTAAGGACGTAATTTTAAAGTTTCGGTAATAAATACCCGTAATTTGCTGAACATCTGACAACAGAAGGTTATCAAGGGTTAATGTTTTTGTGATTTTAATCGGTCTCGCTTCCTCGAATGACGCAATTGTTGTCGCTGAAATTGATAAATTGTCATTGTAATTATGTACTCTAACATTTGATCAGTTATACCGACTGCCACATTTGGAAAAAATTAACTCCACAGCGTCAACGATAGTGAACCCGTTTCATCTGTGGTAATACAATATTTTTGTTACTTTCTCCTTTGACGACTTATGTGACAAGTGTGCTTCGTATGTGATTGTATCAACGTCACCGATTTCTGTTATTATTGCTGTAAAAAAATGTATGTTGCTAATAATATGATTGTATGCTACTTATTCAAACGACATCCCAATCTCAGTATTTTTCGCTTTTCTCACTATCCTTACATTTTTACATGTTCATTTTTTTTACCTAACTATGCGCCGTTAAATCCTATACAAAAAATGTATCAAAGTTATTTTAAAAATATGTCAATCTCTATCTTCAAAGTATCTCTTTCTCTTTGTACACTGAGAAATGCTCTCTGATTTTATTCTTTATTTGTGTTTTTAGTTATACAGGTTCTACTAAGGCTTCTGTTCATCAGATGTTATAAGTTACTAAGCATTTATTTTCTTTTGTGACGTCCTTGCTCATGCAAAATAAATTTGAACTTGAGCTTGACGTTGCATCGGCTAAACTTCATGTTTGGTAACTTTCAAAACACATGGAGCCGTGCTGAACCGCACGGCAATGTGAAAATAGTGAAAAATTGAAAAACAAACATTAGCGTGAGGTTCAGCACGGCTCCATGTGTTTTGAAAGTTACCAAACATGAAGTTTAGCCGATAGATAGGTCTCTAGAAAATCTCGGTAACTCCTCATCCATTGGCAATGAAAACATGAATTGTGCGTAGCTCGAAAGAGGCCTATCTGGCGGTCCTAGCTGACGTCTCAGAATTCAAACGTCATTGCTTGTTCTAGGAGCGGCAAGTCTGGACACTTTGATTAGACCGACTTACCGTGGTAGACCTGATTCGAAGCCTGAATTTTTCATGGGTCTACTTCCCAAACTGTCCTCTGTCGAATGCTAAAAATCGCAAGGTTCTAGCCTTTTTCATTGAAAAGTTCTTCAAAAAATACCGGGGGCTATTCTCTGTTTGCACGAGTAGTAGTTTTTTTTCGGGTACAATAATTAACAAAGGTAACATTCCCATAGTAATTACAAACTGGCAACCAAAAAGTCAGATAACTGATGACTGATGAAATACGACAAGTTATTGAAATTTAAACACGAAGAGGTCGGTATCGATATATTACATGTAAAAGATAGAAGGCGATTCAGATTTCCGGCAAAATCCATAATAAAACGAGTCACACGTGAATATGATAACCATACCGAAAAAATTGAGGCCATCAGGAAATTAAATGAATCATGAAATAATTCAGCGCATAACATCACAGGTGAATAGTCTAAAAAAGACCATCTATTGTGAACTCTGATGTGTTTTGAGTAACACTTAATTAAAAAGAGAGATGGAGACTTACGGCTGTGGGTGTTCAACAGATGAAGCATTAGGACATGCATCTATAAAAACTATCAAAACGAGTTGAAAACTTTAGAATATTATTAGTTTTGTCCATTTACCATAATTATATAATCAAGAAGGTTGTAATTGATAAAAAAGACAACTATCAACTTTATATTTGGGATGGATAATAGTCTATGGTATTTTTTGCACAAAAATGACTTTCTGATCAATTTCGATGCAACGTCAAGCTCAAGTTCAAATTTATTTTGCATGAGCAAGGACGTCACAAAAGAAAATAAATGCTTAGTAACTTATAACATCTGATGAACAGAAGCCTTAGTGGAACCTGTATAACTAAAAACACAAATAAAGAATAAAATCAGAGAGCATTTCTCAGTGTACAAAGAGAAAGAGATACTTTGAAGATAGAGATTGACATATTTTTAAAATAACTTTGATACATTTTTTGTATAGGATTTAACGGCGCATAGTTAGGTAAAAAAAATGAACATGTAAAAATGTAAGGATGGTGAGAAAAACTGACTTACCGTGGTAAACCTGCTCCGACGCCTAAATTTGCTTTCCAAACTGTCCTCTATTGAATGCTGAAATCGCAAGGTTCTAGTTGTTTTCATTGACAAGTTATTCAAAAGATATCGGGGATTGTTCCTTGTTTGAATGGATAGTAGACAATACATTTTGGTTTGGTTGATATATTTCCTCAGAAATAAGCTAGTTTAAATGTACAGAGCACATCCAATGTGTCCGCATAGACGGCACATTGTTTCTGATGAATCGGGCACAAATTTTGGCACATTAAAAGGCACAGGAATGTGCTCTAGTAAATGGAATGGTGTAGCATGCTCTGAAACTTTGAAAAATGAGGAAAATGTTGTTTCAGAACTTATTAATATGATATTCGTCATTAGGAGCTCAAGTTGCACTAATCCTGAAGATTTCAAACGATACTCGATGTAGGGTTTCGAAAGAATTACCCAATAGTAAATAAATTTTTTAATATTATATTCGAATAGCGCAATTGAATATTCTTACATATTTTTATTAAAATAAGAATTTTTTAATCTTGAGAGTAAAAAATGTGGAAGAAAAGTAGAGTGAAACCGCATCTCTGATAATTTTGACTACTACTCATTTTCGCCGTGATTCATCCGTTTTTACATGTATGCAAATGCACTATTCTTTTTTCTGCTTTTTTTGTGTTTTTTTATCTTATTTACTCTGGCGTTACGAAACTATACTTATACATGATACTTTCTTGTGAAAACTTTCAAGGCTTTCCTTCGTCCAAAGGAAAAACGAAGTTTTGAGTTTAAAGAGATTTTAGGAGAAAAATGGCTACTTCTGCATTGTCTGTTACTCCCACACCCTTTCGAGTGATCGGATGGACAGAACACGAACGGCATTGTGTCTGCTATGCGTATATCCAAGAAGAAAGTTTTCACATTTTTGCCTCTGAGGACAACGCTGACAAGGCTTTTTTCTTTCTTTGTTATTACTATAGAGGATTGCATAACGCTGAAATGAAAACAACGAACATGAGTAATTTAAGACCATTTTAGACAATTTTTTTTTTCTTTCTCTGCTGACACAAACACTATCATCAGAAGTATAATTGTCTTATTAAAATCAACTAGACTATTACTATACCATTTGCGACAAGTTAACTCGATTTTGAGAGCATTAAATGCTTTTTCCCGACCTTGCTATAAGAAAATGCAAAAGAATATAAACGAAAAGAAAAAGAAAAATGAGTTGAAAGTCAAACTAAAAGAATTTACAATAGAATACAATGATGGCGTTTGATTTTTGTAAAAGATGTATGACCACTAGAAACTGATTCTATTTGCTTGGGTGGAGGAACATAGGTTCGATTAATTTGTCGAACCAAATCGAAAAAGATCTAAAATAAAAATACAAAAATGTGTTTGATAGTGGCAAAGAGGTCTTCTTCTGTTACTTCGTTGACATTCGCTCTTGCTTTAGCTGATGTTTCCAAGAATGTACATCCCCACTTTTGAGCAAGCAATTGTCCAGTTTCTTTTGCTACAACTCGTTCGTCTACCAAATCAGTTTTATTCCCAACAAGTATCAATGGTATCTAAAATTACACTTTTTATCTTTAATTTAACCACACTCAATGCTTTTTATTCTGCTTCTAGCTTACATTCATACTTGTATCTTTAACACGATTAATTCGTTCTTTAAATTCAGTTAAATCGTTAAATGTCGCTTGAGATGTTACACTGTATACCAGGCAAAAACCGTGTCCACTTTTAACGTACAAATCTCTCATTGCTGAAAATCCTTCGGTACCGGCGGTATCCAGAATTTCGAGTGAATATTGTTTTTCGTCAACTTCAATAGTCTTTAAATGGAAAAGAATGTTTGATTCGTGTACTAAACGTCAAAAACTAGTTCTAAATTAGACTCACCTTTCGATAAACATCTTCAATAGTGGGATCATACTTTTCCATAAAAACATTTCGGACAAATTGCATAGTCTATAACATATAATCAGAAATCGAAACTCACGATAATAATATATCGAACACTTACCAAACAACTTTTCCCAACACCCCCAGAACCAAAAATTACCAAATTGTATTCCAGCATGATGAAAACAACGAACCTACAAACAAATATGCATTGTACAATATGAGTTTTGAAAAGGATGCTAAATTAATTATATGTCCAAGTTCTTGTAAAACATAACGAAGACGATATAGTCTGATTTTACGTACTGTAGCACCTACTTTCGAAAATAAGAAGTTAATACTATCGAATTTAGTATAAGGTATTGAAATGGTGCTGTCACTAGTTATTATTATTACGGATGACTGACGCTAAATATATAGAGGAGTAAAAAATAATAAGAAAAATCAGTTATGAGTCATTTTTTCATATTTTTTCCTTTTGTCAACAGTAGTAACGAAAATAATAATAAAAAATGAGTGCATGAATGACTCATCTATTCACCTTTTGCATTAGTTGGCAAAAGACTACTTCTACGAAAAGAAATCTATTGTGAGAAAAAGAGTTGGGGAATGAATCATGAGACCATATTAAGATAAGTTAACACCACGACTGTATAATGAATCTTTCGTGCACGACAACTATAATTTTTCTTTTAAAGGATACGTGTGAAAAGTTACAAAAAACTACATAAAAAATGTGGAATGTGTAGAATAAAATCATATTCTTCATATCAAACATCTCGGTGATAACAAAGAAAATTCTCCTTGTTTCATCGCCGTATATTAGCGCTACAATAAGCATGCAGTGACGAGAAGAGTGTCAAAAGCTATCGAAGTTTTACCAATAACAGACTATTTTGAATCATACGACGATTAGACTAATCTACCCGATAATATCTAAATCAAACAATGATAGCGGTTGATCGAAGACAGGTTTGCAGATGTTTTGAGTTGTATAAGTGCATCAAAAAAGATATCCATATATTTGGCGTTCGATAGTAAGGGCAAGACCCCATCAGATACAGTCATGTAATAAACTAACATTTCCTATTTTTTAGCTATTAGTTGCAATCAATCGAATACATGTCTTTTTGCGTAGTTACAGTCATGGCATGGAAATGCTGATTCGAGTGGAGACAATTTTAAGACTCTATGGCGATCGTTTCAGGGCTTTTATTTTATTCAAGTTGAATTGGATCGCTTGCATAAAATTCATCGTTACCATTAGACTGCTTAAAACAACGCTGTGATACACTGGTAAATGTGGCTTGTAAGTTTTGAGCAATAGCGCGCACTATTAGTCCACTTCGGTTAACTGTGTTACAAGTTACTACGGAAACATTAAAAGCTCCAAATTTTGTGCGGCGAGTTGATATGCAACATAGCATCCGATCCGAGCATTCTTTGTTAACTTTATTCAAATTATTTTTAATAATAGTAAAAACAACTTGCTTTACAATAAAAATTCATAGCAACTTATTTATCAAATGTGGCATATGAATCTACGACATAACGTTAGAAAAGAGTGAAAAACATATGATGTGATTCACTGTATGTGAGCGGTTACAGAAAAAAACATATTAGTATATTTAATATATTTAAATATATTAGTATATTTTCTGATAAATGTTTGAAATACATCTTCAATAGACTCGATGATCATTCCAAAAGTATGATCTAAAGCTGTATACAGATCTCCAACGGTCAACAGCATTTTTCGTAGCTCATTCTACAGCTCAAAATGCTTTCTTTTATCCAGTCAATATGATCAGTTGCATATTTAACTGTATCAGTACTAGAATTCTTGAATGCTATAAACTTCACAAGTTTAGAATAAATGAAAGAAACGAAGGGCTTCAGTCGAAAAATATAAAATTGTACTTTTCTCTTTGATTTTTATTCTATATTACAGCTTGGCTAAAAATTGAAATACAGTCATGGAAGTAGAAAAATATAAGTCTTTTTACGACTTAAAAACATTGGAATTACTTGTCATTCTAATTGTTATTGGTAATGTACGACATCGTGGATTTACACTTCTTGCTATATAATGGCGAGGGTAGCATGGTTTTCGCAGTGGACTTTCGGCAATTGCCGAAAGTTGTGTTTTTGTTGGATTTTCGCAAAATACCAGACTGAAACTTTGGCAATAGCTAATAGTTCAGTTTTGTAAATATCGGAAATACATTAAAAACACAGCTTTAATTAGTGGTAATTAATTAATTCGCTAATTACTGAACTTTGGGCAATATATAATTAAACATTACCGAAGGTCCCAGCACCATATTTATCGATTTCAATACACATATTATTCAAGAATTCGTACTATTTGTGAGTTTGTTTCGGTATTATGAAATCATAAGCACTGTTAATAAGAGTGGTTCTCGGATTTTTCAGCATGTCTCTATAAAAACCTTTCGTACATGATCAGAGAACTTTGAAATTCTAAGACTCCCAGTAGAAAGAGCAGCCAAAATCCCTTTGTAATTGCATTTTCATAGTGATCGAGCGAGATTTCAAAGAGATATGAAAAGTTTTTTGAAGAAATATGCACAATTAACTAGTCACGTTTGCATAGTCTTCAGGTGTTCTCTAACCAAACAGCCACTTTTAATATCTTTAATATCTACCGTTTAGCATTGGTTGAAAAATACAGTCCAGTAGTATATAATTTATTTTCGAGTAATAAAGATGGAAAGGACAACGGCAATTCTGATAAATAGATACGTGTTCTTTAGTACTATTCATTTTTTTTCATCATAGTCTGACCACACTTTACACGTATTGTGCGTATGTTACATTAAGTCATAATTTCTATCGAAATAAACATTTTCATGCTCGTCGTCATCGAGGTAACAATATTATTACGAAACTTTTAAATATTCTGAAGCGTCTGGTGAGTCTTAATTCATGCGCAGTACAGTCGTAGAGAAATAGTAAACGCATCATTATTTCTCTTTTCTTTACAGTGATTTTGCGCGATAGTTAGTCTTTGAGTGAATTTGTAAGTGTAGAAGCTCTACACTAACTACATGGGAGAATTCCAATCAAATTCAGTTACTATAAACTTTTATTAGGGAAGGTTTAAAGGTATATCTAGGTAATATCAGAAGATAGATGTGATTGCAAGCCACCTGCATTGCAACCGCCACATGATAACCACTCTTATTAACACTCTTTGTTTCATTCTTTTAATGTGTTCTTCTATTCTCTGTTCAAACATGCATGTCTCACCCACATACATTTCAGCACATATACAATGTATACCATACACTATGTCTTCTATCTAAAAGATTGTCATCGTATACTCCATTCTGTGCAATTTTTCTTGCTTTATTTAACACTCAACCAATTTTACGGTTGAGCGTTGTATATATTCTAATATTGAATTTAGTTAATTGTGCTCGCAATTTTTCAGTTAGTACGTATCTGTGAGGAATTACAATTATACTTTCTCCAACTTTATTATCCTTCTCTTTATTTTGAAACTTACTTTTCGCATCTTAAGTTTTATGAAAAATTTTACTACTTTTGGAAAAACTACTATTTTCTAGCAACTGTTCAAGAAGGGATAGATCAGTTTTGTTATATTTGTAATGATAACATATATTTATTCTATGGACCATATTCATCATTATGTTTTGTTTCATAGCGTAATTATGACTGGATAATCCGAAAGAGATGTGAAGGGCTCTCTGAAGGGCATTGTTCTCGCTTCTTTTTCTCCTGCAGTAGTACGGAATAGCAGTCGAATCTGTAACAGTCAAGTGTTCGTTTTCTTTTTTACTGCTACCACATGTCTATGGACTCCTAATCCGCTTTTGTGGCTTGTACTTTTTGAATCTTTTATTCTAACATCAATAAACCAGATTAAAACAAAATGGTACTGCATACTTTACTGATTTTGAAAACAGTATGATTTTTGATACAGAAAAAAATGCTAGAGATAGTGTATACCATAGCAAATTTAGGTTATAATCGATGCAGACAAATTAGTTCACAATGGAAATTCACTGTTAAACAGTGGGTTAAGAGTCAAGATCAGGAGAACCGTTGTTTTCAGTAAATGTAACTAAGTGTATGAGCAATTCGACTACAGAAACCACACAACAAAACCTAAATTCCAGATATAAATTTAGGAAACAGAATAAAAAAAACTATAAGGAGTGATTTTCATTGAACTTTGAGATATTCTCCATATATATGTTTAGTTTATTAACATATTCTTCATCAATCTTCTGATTTAAGTTGTACTTTTTAAAAAAGGTTATCTGCGGCGTTATATGTTTACGCCGTATGTTTGAATCTGGTTTGGCTAAAATAAAATAAAAACGTCAAATTTTTTTAAACCTTTCGTTACTCTAGTTTAGTCCAGTGATAAGAATAAGGATTTTCTACTTGAAGAAAACAATTTTGAGAATTTGAGAATTTCTGATGTGTATTTCGAAATTTTTAGTTCATTTTTATTTTTGGATGAAAATCTCTATGATTTTTCAACGTGGAAATTCGAAAAACCTAAAAGGGCTTGTATAGGATAAAGATACACATCAATCGACTCAGTTTTCGATCCTGATTCCGAATATGATATTTTTATTACATAGAAGTGAAGTTCTGATTTAGAAAATTGAGAACTAGTCAGTTTTTTGACACCAAAAATGATTTAAAACGAATTTTTCAGACAAAAAAAGGCAAAAATTATAAAACGTGGCTCGGACAATCGATAGAGCTTGAAACGTTCTATCGAATGATATATCGCATGATTTGCTTCCATTTGTTCTGATATGAGGAAAATTTATTTTGTCCACTCGAGTGCCAGTAATTAGCGCTAATCAGAACTAATTAGTAATTAAAAATCGCTTTTAAACTTTTTTTGTATAGAATTATATCTACAAAGAATCCTCTCTAAAACTACATTACAGTCAATTGATTGTAACATTTATGTCGAAAACTAGAAAGGTTTTAAAAGATGCTGCTTAAACTAAAAATTTCAATCAATTTTGAACTTAATTAATTAATAACTCTATTAATACTTGACCAACGAGTTTTTATTGCATAGGCATACCACCGCAGGTGTTTTCTACAAACTGGCCAAGTTTGAGGGCATGTCTGGTGGAAGGACATCCTCCCTAACTGTGGCGT